ACTGTCCTCCTCTCCTAGCCTCCCAAGTGTTGGGATCACAGGTGTGTACCACTGCATCAAGATATCAATTTGCAAATATTAAAAACCACCTCAGACTTAACACATTTAACCTGCAGTCATTATTTCACCTCTCAAACCTAATCTTACCCCAGCACCCTCCATTACTCCGAGTCCTTTTCACCATGAATCCAGTTATGTGGAAGTCATCCATCTCTCCTCTTTCCATTTTCCAAGCTTCATGGGTCATATTTCTTTTTGTTTTGCATTTATTTTATGTGTGTGAGAGTTTTGCTTGTGTGTATATCTGTGTACCACCTGTATGCCAGATGTCCAAAGAGGGCATCAGATTCCCCAGGACTGGAGTTACAGATGGTTGGAAGCCGCCATGTAGATGCTGGAAGCCAAACCCCAATCTTCTGCAGCCAGTGCTCTAACCACTGAGCCATTTCTCCAGCTTTGATCTTATTTCTTGCATTTTTTTAATCCTTTAGTTTCTCTACGTCTTGTATCTCTTTTCTCATGCCAAAACAGCCTAGCAATAGTTACAAGATCCATGTTTGCTCACTGTATTTAACTATCACACTCAGGCTAGTCTCATATGAAGGGCTCAGGATCTTTAAAAATATTTATTTATTTATAATTTCATTTTACATTCTAAACAAAGTTTCCCCTCCCACCCCTCCACCAGCCCCCCTCGCCTCCCTAAGAGCCCATCCCCCATCCACTCCTCCCAACAGGTAAGGACTCTCATGGGAAGTAGACAGTTTGGCACATTAAGTTGGGTCAGGACCAAGCCCCTCCTCTCAGTGTTATGTCTGAGCATGGCATCCCTTCATAGCAAATGGGCTCCAACAAGCTAGTTCAGGCACCAGGGACAGAACCTGGTTCTACTGCCAGGGCCCCCTCAGATAGCCCAAGCTTCACAACTGTCTCTCACATGTGGAGGGCCTAGTTTGGTCCTACGGAGGCTCCACAGTTGTCGGTCCAGGGTTCATGAGTTACCATGGGCTTGCTTCGGCTGTCTCTATAGATTTCTCTATCATGATCTTGACCTCCCTTGCTCATGTTCCTCCTCCCTCTCTTCGACTGGATTCCCGGAGTTTGGACTGGTTCTTAGTTGTGGATCTCTGCATCTGGCTCCATCAATTACAGGAAGAAGGCTTTAGCGTCTCTGCAGCTGTGGACTGTAGTCTGGTTATCCTTTGCTTTATATCTAATATCCACTTATGAGTGAGTACATGCCATATTTGTCTTTCTGAGTCTGGGTTATCTCACTCAGGATGGCTTTTTTCTAGTTCCATCCATTTGCCAGTAAATTTCAAGATATCATTATTTTTTACAGCTGAGTAGTACACCATTGTGTAAATGTACCACATTTTCTTTATCTATCTTTCAGTTGAGGGGTGTCTAGGTTGTTTCCAGGTTCTGACTATTATGAATAGTGCTGCTATGAATATTGTTGAACACATGTCCTTGTGGTATGATTGAGCATCCTTTGGGTATATGCCCAAGAGCGATTGCTGGGTCTTGATATAGATTGATTCCCAGTTTTCTGAGAAACCACCATACTGATTTCCAGAATAGCTGCACAAGTTTGCACTCCCACCAGCATGAATCCACATCCTCTCCAGCATGAGCTATCATCAGTGTTTTTGATCTTAGCCATTCTGACATGTGTAAGATGGTATCTCAGAGTCATTTTGATTTGCATTTCCCTGTTGATTAAGGATGTTGAGCAATTTCTTAAATGTCTTTCAGCTATTTGTCTACTTTCTTGAGTTCTTTATACATTTGGAGATCAACCCTCTGTCAGATGTGAGGTTGGTGAAGATCTTTTCCCATTCTGTAGGCTATAGTTTTGTCTTGTTCACCATGTCCCTTGCCTTACAGAAGCTTTTCAGTTTCAGGAGGTCCAATTTATTGATTGTTGCTCTCAGTGTCTGTGCTACTGGTGCTATATTTAAGAAGTGGTCTCATGTGCCAATGTATTCAAGGCTACTTACCACTTTTTCTTCTATCAGGTTCAATGTAACTAGCTTTATGTTGAGGTTCTTGGACCACTTGGACTTGAATTTTGTGCAAGGCGATAGATATGGATCTATTTGCAATTTTCTACATGTTGACTTCCAGTTGTGACAGCACCATTTGTTAAAGATGTTTTCCTTTTTCCATTGTACATTTTTGGCTTCTTTGTCAAAAATCTGGTTTCATATGTGCATGGTTAATGTCAGGATCTTCAATTCAATTCCATTGATCCACATGTAGGCTTTTATGCCAATACCAAGCTGTTTTCATTACTATAGCTCCATAGTAGAGCTTGAGGTTAGTGATAGTGATGCCTATGGAAGTTCCTTTATTGTACATGATTGTTTTAACTAGTCTTGGTTTTTGTTTTGTCATATGAATTTGGGTAATGTTTTTTCAAGGTCTGTGAAGAATTGTGCTGGGATTTTGATGGGGATTACATTGAATCTGTAGATTACCTTTGGTAAGATTGCCATTTTTATTATGTTGATCCTACCTATCCAAAAGTATGGGAGATCTTTCCATTTTCTGATGTCTTTTTCAGTTTCTTTCTTTAGAAAGTTGAAGTTCTTACCATCCAGGTCTTTCACTTGTTTCGTTAGTGTAACTCGAGTTCTAATAGGTCTCAGTAATAAAAGTAATAAAAACCTGGAGTCAGAGTTAGGGGAAATGCTGAGAGATCACAGAGATGAAGGAGACAGCCACAGCCACACCTTACCTCACTAATTTCCCAGCTCAAAAGAGCGAGTTCCTGTTTCCTCCTGCCTATAATCCTTTCTCTGCCCAGTCATCTCACTTCCTGTCTGTCTGCTAGCTAGTGGCAAGCTCCATCCTCTGATCTTCGACACACTTTATTTGTACAAATAAGGTATCACCACAGGTTAGAGTTACCCCAAGATATTTTATATTTGTGGCTATTGTAAAGAAATTTTTCTTTCTTTGCCCATTTATCATTTGTGTATAGGAAAGCTACTGATTTTTTAAAGTTAATCTTGTATCCTGTCACATTACTGAAGGTGTTTATCAGCTGTAGGAGTTCCCGGGTAGAGTTTTTGGGGTCACTTACATATACTATAACATCACCTGCAAAAGTGATAGTTTGACTTCTTTCTTTCCAATTTGTATCCCTTTGATCTCCTTTTGTTGTCTTATTGCTCTAGCTAAAATTTTGAATACTATATTGAATAGATATGGAGAGAGTGGACAGCTTTGTCTTGTTCCTGATTTTAGTGGAATGACTTTGAGTTTCTCTCTATTTAGTTTGATATTGGCTGTTGGCTTGCTGTATGTTGCCTTTATTATGTTTAGGTACGTTCCTTATATCCCTGTTCTCTCCAAGACCTTTATCATGAAGGGGCGTTGGATTGTGTCACATAGTTTTTCAGCATCTAATGAGATGATCATGTTTTTCTTTTCTTTTAGTTTGTTTATATGGTAGATTACATTGACAGATTTTTGTGTGTTGAATTATCCCTGCATCTCTTGGATGAAGTCTACTTGGTTATGGTGGATAATTTTTTTATGGTTTTTAGATTTTGTTTGCCAGTATTTTATTGAGTATTTTTATATCAATGTTCATGAGGGAGAAGCAGCAGAACAGCCACTAGCAGCCTCCTCTTCTCTCTCTCTCTCTCTCTCTCTCTCTCTCTCTCTCTCTCTCTCTCTCTCTCTCTCTCTCTCAGTTTTTCAAGACACGGTTTCTCTGTGTAACAGCCTTGACTATCCTGAAACTCACTCTGTATGTAGACCAGGTTGGCCTCAAACTCACAGAGATCCACCTGCCTCTGCCTCCCGAGTGCTGGGATTAAAGGTGTGCACCACCACCTCCCCACTGACCTATTTCTTCTGTTCCTCTATCCAAGAAGGGGGTTCAGGATTCTTATGGCTGGTCCCAGTCAACGGTGTTCTTGCCGCACAGTGAACCCTAATTCTGCACTGCCAGCATACAGAGATCCGCTGAGGCTGGAATAGAGCACTTCTGCAGGACTGGCTATGTACAGCTGGCAGATGGAGAAACAGGCAGGGTGTGTGCTAATTCTAGGAGCAAATTCCAGCCTTGTTCATCCAAAAAGGAGTGTCCAGGTCATTTGGTCAAATTGGGAAGTCAGTCCCTCCCCTACTTTTGTTCCTTTCCTAAGGAGCCCTCAGGGTTCCCAGCCATCTAAAGGAACTTGTCATCTCCCGCTTTGTTCCCATCCCTCAGGACTTTGGGAATTCCTCCCATCCTTTGCTGGCATGACAAGTGAAAGAGCCAAGTTCATGCCTTGCTGTAGCTTTGAAGGTGAGCACCAGGTCAGTCGTTCAGGATTTGGAAGTGAGAAAGAGGAATATTCTCTAGAATTGGTAAGTTACAAACTTGGGACTACTGGTGCCATTTATTTCTTTTTCCAATAAGCTTTGTGTTGGTTAATTTTGTTTGTTTATTTGTTTGTATTTGTCAGCTTGACACAAGCTAGAGTCATCTAGGAAGAGGGACTTCAACTGAGAAAACAACTCCTTTAGCTTGGCCAATAGCCAAGTCTGTGGAGGTATTTTCTTGGTTGGTCATTGATGGGGGAGGGCCCAGCTCACTCTGGGTGATGCCATCCCCGAGGCTTGTGGTCTTTTGTTGTATAAAAAAACTAAGCTGAGCCAGGCTTTGGTGGCGCATGACTTTAATGCCAGCACTAGGGAGGCAGAGGCAGACGGATCTCTGTGAGTTCGAGGCCAGCCTGGTCTACAGAGCGAGTTCCAGGACAGGCTCCAAAGCAATACAGAGAAACCCTGTCTTGAAAAAAAAAAAACAACTAAAGTTGAGTGAGCCATAGGGAACAAGCCAGTGGTCAACATTCCTCCGTGGTCTCTGCTTGGGTTCCTACCTCAGCTTCCCTGCTGATGGACTGTAACTTGTAAACCAAATAACCCTTTCCTCCCCAAGTTACTCTTGGTCATTGTACCTTTGTCACAGTAACAGAAAGTATACTCAGACAAGTGGATTGAAAAACAAAGGTACTTTATGTTGCAATAGAAAACTAAACTCAGCTAATACAAAGAGGCACAGATGCATGCTGAGATAAAGAGAACTTTCCATGTACTTGGGTTGCTTCAGTCTCCAGTCAAAGCCTGTTTCTGGCACATGGCTTTGTCTGAGGAACCCCAGGATCTCTGCACCACAGTGTCCCTGGAAAATGTAAACTATTTTAGGTTTTCCTCTGCTACCCAGGCTTAAGAGACTCACCTGACAGCTCTCAGAGAGCACCATTTAAATTCCTCTTCTGAGTCTAAAAATTCCTTAGTATTAGTCATCAAATTGGGAGTTTCCTTTGCTTTGTTGAAAAAAATATGGAGGTCATAGATTCAGAAGTAAGCAAATTGTATTAAGTTCCCCCTCCTCACAATAGACCAGCAGTCCCTTGTTTGTAGAGCTCTTCCAGAATGTCTGACATCAAGTCACACTCCACTCCACTTACACTTTACTGTTGCTGCCTATACGAGAAGTTTTGCTTAAAGGAGGCCCTCAGTGTCTCAAATGAGGGAACAACTGAACAGATGCTCAGATGTGAAGCTGTCACAGCTACCGTCCCCTGCCCCTGAAGGATTGATTGGTGCTGTTGACCCTCAGGAACTCATAGACAGTCTTCAAGAAACATCAGTAAAACAGGAAAGGTCAGAGGACAGGAAAGCCACAAAGGGTTAAAACTGGTGAGGGTGTTTTTTTGAAATGTGTTCCTATTTAGTATATAACAAATGAGAGAATATTAGGGAGGAAAGTTTGTCACTTGTAAAGTATCTTCTGGGCAATGGCTGTGTACACCTTTAATCCCATCACTCAGGAGGCAGAGGCAGGTGAATCTGTGAATTCAAGGCCAGCCTGGTCTACAGATGGTATTTCAGGACAGCCAGAGCTACACAGAGAAATCCTGTCTCTAAAAACTAACCAGCCAAACCAAACCAAACAAAACAAAACCTCCAAAATTGTGGGTTTAAAGGCGTGTACCACCACCTCCCAGCCTTCAGGAATTTATTATGCAGCGATTGCAATCACTCTCTCCCAGATGGTGGTTAATTTTTTTTAATCAACTTGAGTCTCTTGGAAGGAGGAGACGAGGAAATGCCACCATCAGCCTGGCCTGCAAGCATGTCTGTGTGATGTTTCCTTATTGCTGATGGCTGTGGGAGGGTCCCCACTGTAGGCTGTGCCACAGATGGTCCTGGAAGTCATGAGAAAGGTGGCCAGCAATGGTGGCGCACGCCTTCAATCCCAGCACTCGGGAGCAGGAGGCAGGTGGAGCTCTGTGAGTTCTAGGCCAGCCTGGTTTACAAAGTGAGTTTCTGGTTGGCCAGGGCTTCATAGTGAGAACCTGTCTCAAAAGAGAAACAAACAAACTGTAGCTGAGCAAGCCATGGAAAGCAAACAGGTAAACAGCTCTTCCCCATGCTTCCTGCCCAGACTCCTCAGTGATGGACAGTAATGAGGATGTGTAAGTCCAATAAACCCTTCCCTCCCCGAGTTGTTTCTGAGTGTTTTATCCCGTCAACAGAAAGCAAACTAGGCCACCACCTCATGTAACCACGAGCTTGGTGGGCATTAACTAAGACTGTCATGCTCTCTGTCTGGCCCTGACTCCCAGGCAGAACACCTTGCAGAAGTCGAATCAAGCATCCCACGTTACTCTTCTCCTGTTGACAATTACACAGTCATTCTGTCAACTCTGAGACCTAGGACTCTGCACTGATGAAGGAAGATTTTCCTCTTCACAGAAACAACAAAAGAGGGGGTGTTTGGCACCCCCATCAAGAGGGTGTTTTGAATATTTTCACGTGGCCTTTAAAATTACTTTGGCATATTTTTAAAAAATAATATAATATAAATACCAGTATAGTTATAATAAAAGGGTAAGCTGTAGCAAAAATTACAATAAATTTGTATACATTAATGGATATAGATAGCATAAAAAGTTATGCTATAAAGTACATGATATAGCTGGATAGAAATGTCCTATAGAACTCACCACTATTTACAATGAATATGTCAGTGATTAAGGAAGTAAATTTCTTATAAATTGTATTTTAAAACCCACAATAAAAATGGACTCGGGGTTGGAAAGTAGCTGGGGTCTAGCATTTGCCCAGCAGGTGTGAGGTGTTGGGCTCAGGCCCTAACACTGCAGAAGGAAACGGGTTCTAACGAAAGGACACACATTCTCTGCTCTTTGTTGTTTGTTCTCTCTCGTCTCAGAAGCTCGTCCCCAAGGTCTTGCACTCCATAGTGACTAACTTCCTCCAAGTGGGAAGCAGCATCCATTGCAAGCACCAGGTGTGGACGGCTGGGCCTCACGCAGGAAACCAGAGGCAGTGGCTTCTGTTCTGGACCTGGCTGCAGATGTGGGAACTGGGAGGCCAGCTCTCTTGAGGGCAGAAAAGAAGTGCCCTGCCTTCCTGTTTGGTAGGTGTGCGCTGCTTGCAAGTCGGGGAGTAGCCTGGTGTAGGACTAGAGCTGCGCAATTCAGAGTGTAGAATTTTACTCAGTCTTCTTGCAGTCAGTCACGTAGCTCATCCCATTCCCTCTGCTGTGGTTTCTCCAAGTTGGACCATCTCCATTTTCCAAGAATAAACTGCTTGTCTTTTGCATGGGGAAAGGTACTAGTCTGAATAGGATTGTGTGTGTTGCGGGGTACATGGGGAGACGTATCCCTTCATAACACCCTTTCAAGCATGTCCTTTGGTTTTGGCTTTGTGTATCACCTTTTGCAGGACCTTCAACCCCGCCCCCACAGGCTCAGCCATTCCAGGTTCTTTGGAGTCCCCCTCAATTTCCTCTGGGTCACCTCTCCCTCTTCAGGATTGGGGTTAAGTTGGCCAGAATCACATATCTAAATGTGAAACCCAAGCTTCAATCCACATTTATTCATCTTTAAATCTCCTCTGTGTTTCTATCTTTGCAGAACTAGAATAAAACTCAAGAAACCATAGCAAACAGAACGCTAAAAGAGCTAATTACCAGGTCCCCAGTGGCACACTATGTCTAAGTCTGCACATGGCTGGTGAGTCACTTAATAATGAAATAGGAAGTAAAATGAGATACTGTTTCACTGTGTATATGGTTATCTGACAGAGTGTAAGAATGATATTAACCACACCATGCAATGACAGAGAAAACAGGTGTTCTCGAATGCTTGTGGCCTGAGGGTGAATCAGTTTCGCCTTTCCAGGGGAGTGGTGCCAATTTTTCTCCATGTAGCAAAACTGTTAGTATCTTGTGCAACTTTTTACCCAGAAGGTCCACCTTTAGGAGTTTATTTTCAGAAAATAATGAAACCATTCACAAAAATTTGGTGACATCTTCATTCTAATGTTATTTATAGTGTTAAAATTTTAATAAGTGATCTGCCCATTAGTATGGACACCATAAGGCAAATCCTAGACAAAATATAATGCTGAAAATTGATTTTAATAACACAAGAATATGATAATGTCATACCAAGTTAAATACATAGGCTTTAAATGTAGGTTCTCAATTTTTTAGTATTACAAAAGATTCTTCTTGTGGCTAGCAATGAAAATTCAACAAAAAATGGCTTAAGAAAGAGAAAGAAATGCACTGACCTGTAGTGTTGGAAAGGCCAGAGGTTATAATGTCTTCAGGCAAGGGTGGATCCTGACTCCATAGCCCCCTCCCTAGCACTGCCCTCCAGTTGAGCAGCGTCCCTCGTACCTGTACACTATGTCCCGAGCCCTTGGCTCGGCTTTCTTTCATGTTGGTTTTGCTCTTGATAGACTTTCCACAAGTGCTGTAACGACGGCAGTCCAAATTCTGGGCTTGTGGCTTTTGCTTGTGTTCTTGAGAGAGGGTCTCTGGCATAGTTCTGACTGTCCTGGAACTCACTGCGTAGACCAGGGTTGTCTCGAATTCACAGTGATCCACCTGCTTCTGCCTCCCAAGTGCTAGGATTAAAATCGTGCACCACCACAGACCCACCCTGAGCTTGTGTTTTTATCAGCTTAATAACCTGACAAAAGAACCAAAAGACTTTCTTTCAAACTCGCTGGCCCGGATTGCGCACTCTCTCCAGCTGAGAAGTGCTGTGCATCTCACCTGAGCTGTGTGGTAATTATTGAGCCAGTTGTGTCCAATTATGAGTCCGAGGTCCCTGATGCAGGAGTAACTTCGGCAACCCTCATGAAACAGCTTCCATCATCCATGTTTTATTGGTGAAGAAACTGAAGCCCATGCAGGTCGAGTGTGTTATAAAGATAAAAGAATCAGCAAATGGTGAGTTCACCCCTATGAACTGAGATTATGAGACTCAGCAGGTCTTCAAAGAGACCAGATGTTGCTTCAGACAATGAAGATAGGGCCCCCAATAAAAGCAAAACCCCCAGTTGCAAAAGATATTGTTAATATATTCAGAAAAGGTAAGAGAAAAAGTTATATCCATAAGAACAGGAATGTGACTGTGATAACGTGGGTAAAACCATACTTTAATATTAAAGCAGGGTACTAGATCTGGGAAATGTAATAGAAGGGTTGCCACTGGTGGTGGAGGGACAGACTGACAGATCATTCTCTGATCTCCATAGCACAAATGCACCCATGCTCTCTCTCTCTCTCTCTCTCTCTCTCTCTCTCTCTCTCTCTCTCACACACACACACACACACACACACACACACACACAGAGAGAGAGAGAGAGAGAGAGAGAGAGAGAGAGAGAGAGAGAGAGAATTAATTACCAGAATGGGATCTTTTCTGTAAAAGGTCCTTGAAGGGCCTAGGAAAAATGAATGGTAACAGCTCATCTAGACACATTATTGTGAAATTTCAGAACACAGCTGCTAGGAGATCTTGATGGGCCAAAGGGAGGGAGGGAGGGGGAAGGGAGGAAGGGAGTTGGGGAGAGAACAGAGGTTGTATGCAGAGGACGAGGACGAGGACTTAGCTTTGTGTACTTGAATGGTACTGGGAGCAAGAATACAAGAGCATTACTTCAAAATCCTGAAGGAAAACAATTCCCTAGAATGTTGTTCCTAGCTAAATTATCAATCATATGTAAAGACAAAATAAAAACACATTCCCATATGTGATCATCGCTTCTCATGTAGCCTTTCTCAAGAACTTCCTGGAGGCTGGACCTTTTGGATGAGAGAACAAACCAGAAGAGAGCCTGGGAAACACCACATCCACAAGAGACACAGGACAGCGGTGAGGACAGTCCTCGGAGTGAAGAGACAACTATGTATCAGGTTCAGACTCCCGGGTGTATGGGGTCTATGGAGGGATGGAGGCCCCATACCACAATTTCCCCACTACCGCCATGCTTGCTTTATTTTCCTTCTTTCTTTTTTTCTTTTTTGAGACAAGGCTTTACTACACAGACCAGGCTGTCCTTAAACCCGTGGTCCTGCCTCTCTGCTTCTTGAGTGCTGGCCTTCCAGGCACGCACCACCCACCATTCTGAGTTCCATCATGCTAACCTTAAAGCTAGGTCCACATACCTAGAGTGGCCCAGGGTTTTCTCTGTGCTAGTTCCTCTTTGATCATCTGTTGACAAGGTAGGCTGGGTACAGAAACACCAGCTTTGACCTCTCCTGGAAGGTAGAGGGAAGTCACAGTGGACAGCTTGTCTCTCCGACTGTGACCTGGCCAAACATCTGAAGCCTGGCTCACGCTCTTGTGTCACTACATGTCTCAGCGGTGCCAAGCCCTGTCTCCCAGAGTTACTCACCAGCTTGCTCAACGCCTTTCCCATAAAAGGTGCTAATGAATGCTGAGAAGGCCAAGCCAGACAACCACCCAGAGACTGACGGCTCGGTTTATTTGCCCCGTTCCTGCCTTCTCTAACAGTGGAAGTTTCTTTCCTCTCCTAGATTGCCACTTACCACCCAGCTTTTAAGTGCTCTGTAAAAGAAAAATGACAGTGACTTAACACAGAGGTCATGATGGGTAAAGTGACAGTGACTGAGGAGGACTGAACACTTCAAAGAGCTGTCAGGTTTTCCAAACGAAGTGGAAGAATCCGGAATGTACACCCCCGTCTCATGCTTGAATGGTCCCACCGACCTCACTTCCCATTCGGTCTGTGTGGTCCCCGCCACAGCGCATCATTGTAAAACCAGCTGCTGTTACCCAGTGCAAGGGGACTGAACAGAGAGCAAGAAGAAACAGTGAGTGTTCATTTGCCAGGCGGGTGATGCACCCTGGAGGCAGAGGCAGGCGGATCTCTGTGAGCTGGAAGCCAGCCTGGTCTACAGAGCGAGTTCCAGGATAGCCAAGGCTACACACACACACACACACACACACACACACACACACACACACACACACACACACACACACGAAAAGAAGGAGAGGAGAGATGTGCAGTGGTTAATAGCACTGGCTGCTCTTCCCGAGGACCCTGGTTCAATTCCCAGCACCCACATGGTGTCTCACAACCACCCGTAGCTCCAGTTGCATAGTCCCTGAAGCCCTCTTCTGGCCCCACAGACAATGCATGTGGTGCACATACAGGCAAGCAAGCATTCATATATGGAGAGAATAAAACAAAATAAAAGCAAGCAAGCATTCATATATAGAGAATAAAACAAAATAAAAAAAGAAAGAAATATTTGTTCAGAATCTTTGGAAAATGATATTTGCAAGAGGAGAGGACAAGAAGGGCCGCTTCTTGCTGGTCCTTCCTTCCTTCCTTCCTTCCTTCCTTCCTTTCTTTCTTTCTTTCTTTCTAGTTTAATTGCAAGGAACACAAGCTTAGTCAGTGTTAACCAAGAAAGGAATAGGAGCTGCTTTGAGTCAAAACGTAGGATTAACTAGAATATAAAAGTCAGAGTTTTCCACTTGCCTCACAGGCATCTCTGTGTGTCTGTCTGCTCTGTTTGTCTATTGGCTGCATCACCAATCTTCCCACAGTTCATTGGTTTAAATGGCAAGTATCCTTTGTTTATTGGTATGCGCCGCTGCAATTTGAGAATAGACTGGCAGGAACACCTTGTGTTTGCTCTATGAGGCGAGGTGATGGCTGGGTTGGCTTGACTGGGGTGGGGTGGGGGTGGGGTGGGGATGTAGCTTTGGCTGAAGTGGGAGAACAGCTAAGGACCCTGACCTCAATCTCTCCAGAAAGACATCCTTCTTCAACGGGGAGCTCAGACTTCAAGAGAGGGGAAGGGGAAGAAGATGTAGGTTTTCAAACAGTTAGGAGCTAGCATGTGACCTATTCTGCTGGTTACAGCAAGCCACAGGGCTGGTTCTTGATGGGAAAAGCAGCAGGTCTGAGGCAACTTCTCAATCAGTTTGCTGGGTTTTTTTTGTTTGTTTGTTTGTTTGTTTCTCTGTCAGTTAGGTTTGCATGAAATTTAGCTTTCTATTATTGCCTGTCTCTACTTGTTTTTTGTTTTTGTTTTTTTCTGTTATCTCCAAATTTTATCCCTAGCTAGCAAATCCTTCATGAATCTTCAATATTAAACTCCCAAGAATGAATTGGTTCAGTCTTTCTTCTTCATGCCATGCCAGGAATGGAAGACCTGATTCCGATCTCTGTCTCCTGCTTTTTCAGGGTGAAATTAAGCCCCCAGGATAGCTGCAGTCATAGTACTTTGAATTTCTATGCCATGTGCTGAGATTTGCTAATCTTAGTGCTTGTTTGGTCTCAAATTCTCTCTCTCCCCTTACTTAGATGGAGCTGGTTGGAAGGATCATGACATTTTTTTTGTACCTTCAAATTCTTCAGATCTTCCTCCTGAGAACAAGGGCATTGTCCAATGATGGGGGATGTCCATATGTATGTATATATATATATATATATATATGTGTGTGTGTGTGTGTGTGTGTGTGTGTGTGTGTGTGTTTCTCTTATTGGTTGGTGAATAAAACAATGATTGTGCAGGAGAATGCTGGGGAGAGAGGCAGAGAGAGAAACAGGAGACACCATGTAGAGGCAGAAGGAGTAACATGCCAGGGCATTACTGGATAAGCCAAGAGCGCGATGAAATATTTAGATTAATATAAATGGGCTAATAATTAAGAGAGAGCTAGCTAGTAAGAAGCCCTATCCATCGGCCAAACAGCTTATAAATCAATAAGTCTTTGTGTGTCTATTTGGGGCTAATTGGCTGCGGGACCAGGCAGAACAGAAACTTCTGACTACAGCTAACCAGTTGACAACCACAGCCAAATTACCACGCTCAAGAAATTTAACCTTTACATATAATATAGTCTGATGTTGTAGTTATGTTGTACTTCTGATCCTCCTGCCTCCACGTTCCAAGTGCTGGGACTACCAGCACGTACTGCCAGCCCCAAGTTATGCAGGGCTGGAGATGGAGCCCTGGGTCTCTAGTGTGCTAGGGAAGCACTCTGTCAACTAAGCCACGCCCCAGATCGCCCCCATTCTGCTTTAGTGTTTGTGGCTATAGCATTGACTGACAGCCTTCGGCAGCCTTGGCCAGCTGCTTATCTTTGCTCATGCCCATCCCATCCCCTATAATTTCCCCAGGTCCTCTGGCCAGGGACTTATGGGTAAGTTTGGCCAAGACCACCAAGACAATGGTGGTAACTGAAGTGTAGAGGAAAAGGAAGGGCAGGGTCTTCCCTGACTTTTCTGGAGTCTTTAGCTATGGCTGCTTCTTCTGTGCCCCCACAATCCATAAACAGACCTCCCTGTGGGGTTCCAGCGAGACTCTCCTTCTTCATGCTGTTCCTTGTGACTGGCCACAATTTCACTTCAATAAATCTACTTCTTTTGTTCCTTCTGCTCTGGGATAGTGCTGGCCTCTGAGTGCCTACCCTTTCCATTGTCTCATCCGCCTGGGTTTGGTTCTCAGCTTCTCCATTTCCTGTGTACGCACTGTTCCCATTAACGTTCTTCTCGATTTGGCTTGAAAACCTAGGGTGGTGTCGGCTTTATTGACTAAACAGTGACTAATTCAGGTAGGTATTCATCATTGTCCTAATCCACATGTCTTGTGGAATAGGGCCACAGACCACAAAATACAGCCACACGGGTGGCATGGCCATAAAAGGGGAATCTTTTATAAGGCATAGTCAGCACTACTGACCTATACTCAAAAATTCAAAAACAATAATGTTAGGGTGGCTAAATTTTAAAATATATATCTAATAAGGTATATATTTATTATTATTAAAGAAAAATTGCTGTCATGCTATATTTAGTAAATCAGGCAATTCAGAAACAGTCTACCCTCATGAAAGCATTCTGGCCTTCAAATCTTCTAAAGTGGGCAAACAAGAGGGTCATGATGGACCAGTCTGACCTCATTTTAAGATTAGAAGCCATCTTGTTACAAGTCCAAAATAAGTTCATTCCCTTTTTCTGTAAAACTTGGGTCTTGACCTATATTCTAGAATTTGACATGTTTCATGCCCTACACCCTAACCTCTACCCTGAGGACAAGATGTTCTGCTAAATACTTTTGAGATTTCAGCTTAATTCCTATGTAAATAAAAACCTCTTGAAAACTCCCTAGCAGTTATTTGGGGCTAATATAAGCCCTATCTTCTCCTGTGTTCAAAGCTATTTTCTCAAACCCTGATTTGTGGAGATAGCCCTGTCTGACAGAAAATAAAACTTTCTTAATGTTACCAAAGAATCTGGGTTGGGGGGCTGGAGAGATGGCTCAGCGGTTAAGAGTAATGACTGCTCTTCCAGAGGACCCAGATTCAATTCCCAGGACCTACATGTATAATAGGGTAAAAAGGGTAGATTGTTGCATCTACTGTGAAAAATAAAAAGGGAAGAGAATTGTGGTAATAGATTGTTTATGATCTAATAAAGCCACTGGAGATCAAAATGCAAAGCTAGCCGCAGCCATAGAGCCAGGCAGTGGTGATACACACCTTTATTCCCAGGACTCGGGAGACAGAGGCAGACAGATCTCTGTTAGTTCAAGACTACACTGAGCTACATGAAATTGTTCCAGTCTAAAAGAGAAACAGCTCATACGAAGGTGATCTCAGCACTTGGGATCACACAACTTTAATCCCAGCACTAGGGAGGTGGAGACAGGAGTGATATGCAGACAGAGGAGTATAAGGTAGAGGAGACAGGAACTCAGGGGATTTCACTCTGAGGCTTGGTGGAGAGCAGTGCACTCTGAGGATTTGTGGAGACAGGATCACCCATTTTGGTCTGAGGTAGAGGTAAGAGCTAGTGGCTGGCTGCTTTGCTTTTCTGATCTTCAGCTTGAATCCTAATACCTGTCTCTGGATTTTTATTAATTTTGTTACAATGAAGGAAGCATGGTATTAGCCTCCCCCACCCAGTATCATCTTTTGCTTATTCCCTCCCTTCATTCATTCCCCCACAGAGCCTCTTGCTTCTACTTTCATGTGGTGTGTTTGTGTGTGTGCATGTGTGTGCATGTGTGTGTGATGTGTGTGTGTGTGTGTGTGTGTGTGTGTGTGTGTGTGTGCATGTGTGCCGGGAACTCACAGAGATCTGCTAGCTTCTGCGTCTTGAGTGCTGGGGTGAATGTGTGTGACATCATGCAAAGGCAGAGAACTATCCCAGATAGCTATCAGTAAATGACATGCACAGACTTCATGCTGTTCTGGGGACCAACTCTGGAGCCCTGTGCATGCTGGGAAGCCTTGCTTTACCACTGGACTATCTCCAAGCCAAATGTTACATATCTTGGCAGAAATCTCCTTGCTAATTAT